AGGTTGCCGACGGTAGAGCAGAGGCGGCGATGGAGGCTGTGGACGGCGGAAGAACGGTGGCAGATGGCAACGTGTATATATACAGTGTGTGCGTGTGTGTGTTGTCTGTGTTTCAGTTTAGTGTGTGTGTGTGTGAGAAAGAGAGAGGGGGGTAGTTGGGGTTAGATGGGGTGGGTGGGTTGACGAATTATTTGGGTAGTTGGCAGTCAAATTAAATATGTATAATGGCCCACTTTTTTGGGTGGTGTTTAGAAAATTACTACATTACCCTTAATGAAGGTATAAATTAGACTTTTTTTTATCCATTAGATCATTCTATCTAATGGTTGTGATTTATTCTTATTTCTTTCCCTAGGAACCATTCTCACTGGAGCATGACCCTATATATATATATATATAGGTCAAGGATCATATGAGAATGATTCTTAGTGAAAGAAGTAAGAATGGATATACACCACAAGATCTGCCAAATTAACGGATGAGATGTGTCAAGGATGTTGACCACGCTGAAATTAAGCGGTGGCATAGTTGTAATTTAACGCATCATTAAGGTAAGTTTGGTATGTAAAAGGGCATAGTTGTAATTGATNTCTTTACTTAAAAGACCACATTTAATTACATCAATGCCTAAAAGGAGTTACCATATCCATTACAAACTCAATCCCTTGATTTCTGTTGTTTAAGACCATATTTGACTACATTAATGCCTATAAAGGTAGTTACTATATTTATTTCAACCTAAAAAAAACAAGTTCATTTTTTTATTTTATATTTTTTTATCTTTGAAAATTCATTAAATGGGTTCTCCAGATTTTTAATGGTATATATACAGTTTTTTAATGGTATATATATAGTTTTTTTAATCATTTTTTAATATATATATATATCCTTTTTTTTAAATATTGCACTTTTGAGAATATACCGAAAATATACTGAAAATATACTAACTATAAACCATGAATAACCGTACAAATAAAACGCTCTACCCTTAATTGCCGTGTATATTCCATTACAAATACCAAAAAGAAAAAAAAAAAGAAAAAAAAACATGTATTGTAATTCACGCAGGTGTCCAGGGTGACTATATATTGCGTTTATGTTAGTATATATTCAGTATATGTTTAATATATATACATAAAATATACCATCAAAATATATTGGTGTATGTGTTGCATATATTTCAATGATTATAGTAAATATAAAGCATAATCATGGTATATATAATGAATATATAAAATATAATGTCCGTATATATACTTACAATACAAACCGTGAAGATGGTATATGTATTGTATATGTTTTCCATGATTTTACTAAATATAAATCATACATATACCCAAGATATACATAATATAAACCATATATATAACAGGGGGAAACGATACAAACACGATAACAATATGAGGGGATAAAAAATATATCAAAAATATACTAAACATAAACTATACAAAACAACAAAGTTCCAATTACAGGGTGAAAGAGAACAATTTATGGACATTTAGCTAAACCCAGACAAGGATACAAATTAAAAAAAAAAAATAGTTTAATTTTGTGCTACCATAGTTTCATTTGCTCTTTTGTGCAAATATTTGCCTCCCAACTAAATGTCTTCCAGCCCGTATTCCTCACGCCCCTAAACGAGATGTAGTAGAATCATGACAAAAATTTCCAATATCCAACGGTACTTGAAACCCCAAATTGATCCACAACAGATCAAATCAAAATTCCATTAACCCAACAAGCATCAATCCACAATTCTAACATCATAATAAGTTCAACTGGCAGATCAATCAATCGTGCAAAGTGCCCAAGATATCCTCGTCCATGTACAAATGGTACCTGCAAACCACCCAAACATCAAGATAATTTCAAGCAAAATGATAAAAATAATGAGAAAAAAAAATCTGAAACAATTTTTTTAAAAAAAATTGTAACTACTTACTCTATGCAAACACTACAATTGCTCTTTTGTTCTCACCTCGACGGGTGATTCCAACTGGATAGTTTAGGGTTCAAATTAGGGTTCCGATGAGGTTTCTTGTTCGGTCGCCGGAGGAGAGAGGGAGGGGCACAGGCTTTGCCTCTGGTGCTTTTGGAGAAGAGAGAAAAAGAGAGAAGGAAGAGAAGAGAAAAAAGAGAGAAGGAAGAGAAGGAGAGCGAGAGAGATGGTGAACGCATTTTTTAAGGGTGTGAGATAATTAAATCTCACCATATCAAGTATATTTGCAATATTTTGTGGATCATTAAGCAATTTTTTATAAATAAAAATAAAAAGATAACAAAAGTGTTATATAAATTAAATAAAATAGTATGGGATGTAAATTCCTCCAAGGTAAATCGATTCTCAATTCTCATCTTCTAGGACAAATCTCCACTCTTCATAATCGAAGACATGTTCTGTTACTTTTTTCAATTTTAATAACAAAAACAATGAAATCTATTTTCCAAAAGGCGTTAGTTCTCTATATTGTTAATTTGATTGGGGAGAGAAAATCTCATTTCTCTTGTTGCACGTGGCAAAAAAAAAAGACTTTGGAACAATAAAATTGCCATCAAAACAAACACCTTGCTAAAGTGAAATTTTTTTGACTTGACTTTAAGTTGTAATTGTGTACTTTAGTCATGTTAAAATTCGGATCCAGCACTTTTATAGGGAAGCTAATTTTGCGACAGACCATATGGCGAGTCTAGTCTCTTCTTTTCCACTAGGAGTTCAGAGATTCTCGTCACCCCCCCAGAGGATGACTACTTGGATTGATCATGATTTTCGTGGAGTGGCTCACCCACGTCGAGTCCTAGTGTCGTCATCTTAAGTCTTCGGCCTCCTTCTTTGTACCAAAAAAAATAAAAATAAAAAATATAAATTAAAAAAGAAATTGTCAAAATGAAGCCATGTGATGAGATCTCAGGGCAAGCAACTTAATGTCAAA